CTGCTGCCCAGATGGCTCCGTGGATAGAGTGTGCACTCTTAACAACAAGGCTACTGGTTCGACTCCCTCATGGGATGGTGGCTACGCCCACCCACCACTAAGATTGAACACAGAACCTTGAGCGTAGAGGCTACGAGCTGCTGACAGGCAGCCAGATGGCGACTGGCGCCCTCCACAACGAAGATTGAAGAATAACAACTTGGCTGGTCCTCTTTCCCAATTCCCCAATAAAAAAATCTTTAAAAAAGAAAAAGAAAAAAAAGAGGTATTGACACACAAACACCAGAATGGCAAAAATGAAACAACACACACATTGCTAAATGCTAGGGAGATGTGAGGCCACTGGACGTCACACACTGCTGGTGGGAGCATAATGGGTCCTCACAATGGAAAACTGTCTGTATCCCCTGAAGCTGAACCTATGCCTACCCTAGGACACAGCAATTACTCTCCTAACTATCCACCTAACACATGTGTACATATATTCACCAAAAGGCTAGTAGAATGGACTAGACCTACTAGAATATTCATAGCAGAACTATGCATAATAGCTGGAAACAACCCAAATGTCCGTCAGAAGTAGAAAAGGTACATAAATTGTAGTATAATCCTACCATGGAAAATTATGCAGAACTGAGAATGAATGAAGCAATGCTGCTTGCAACAGTGTCAGTGAATCTCATTCACATGATGTGAGTGAAAGCCAGATACAAAAGTTAACATACTCTATGAGTCCATTTATAGAAGTCCAACAGCAAGGAAATCTAATGTGTGGATTGAGAAGTCAGAATCGTGGTTACCCTGGGTAGGGGAGGGGGAGAGTGGATTGAAAAGGGGCACAAGATGGGTTTCTGGGGGTGCTGATCATGTTGTGTTTCTTGACCTGGGTGCCAGCTTCATGGATATGTTCATGATGTGAAAATTTATGAAGCTGGTTACCTATGACTTATACATGTCCTTCATCTACGTTTAACAAAAAGTTTTTTTAAAAAAAATTGTGGTCAGGCTTCATTGAGAAGGTTCTCTTCTTGCAGGAGCCAGAGATAAGGAAGAGATCAACAAGAAGGAACTATATGAGAGCAACGAGCATTTCCTGGGGCCCTACAACCCTGTCAGCCCGTGCCAGAACATTCTGCATGTGATCTCGGCGACTGCTTGCTGCCCATCAGCCCGGGGCCTCCCTGGGGATGGGGGAGAAGGGAGGGCGGCACCAGCCTGTCCAATGCCTTCTCCTCTCCTTCCATCTTTCCAGGTTCAAGTCCCCTTCACAGGAGGCCTTCCCTGACCACACGGGCCATCCTGAGTATCTCCAACCCTTCTGGTCTGTGCCACAGCCTGTGGGCCATGTCACCCAGCTCTGGGGACAGAGGCTATGTCGCCCCTGGTTTTCAGCTCCTCCTCAGAGTTTGTGAGCCCTCTGCTGACCTGTGTGTGTGTCTGGCAGTATTTGTGCATCTGTGTATGGCTTACTTGGGGCTTACCCATATGTGTCAGCATCTCTGTGCCTTTGTTTCAGGAATTTGGAGGTTTCCTAGGGCCCCGGCAGGTCAAGGACCTGCTGCTAGCAGCCCTGGAAGGGCTGAAAGGCGGCTCAGAGGCTCAGGAGACGGACGCGGGAGATGACGCAGCTGGCCTCAGAGATCACACTCAGCTCAGTACTGGAGTGGCACCGCCACAGGGCACTGGAGGTGGTAAGGCTCCTGGGGGCAAGGGTGGGCTGGGAGACCCCACAGAGCGGCTCACCCCTTGGGTAGGGCGCGGGTGGTGGCGGCTGAATTTTAGGAGCTTCCAACTTTCAGGTGAGAAAGAACTCACTTAACAGCCACCAAGAGAATTTATCGACCTAGTGTGGGGTGGAGCAGGGTGGGGAAGACAGAATGGCTCATTTCCAGGAAAGAGCAGGCACTCTGCCTCCTCCCCATTTCTCTCCTCTTCACCCTCCTCTTCCATCGCTCTGTCCTGTCACCCCTTCCTTCCTCTTCCCATCTCCCTGCCCCCATGCCCCCCATGGCTTTCCCACGGGCCCTCTGCCTGCTCATGACCACCCACTGTGCCCCAGATCCCAGAAATCGTGCAGGCCATCTATGTGCAGCTGGGCCACATCCAGGAGCCACGGGCCCGGGAGGTGGCCCTGCTGCTCCTCTCTCTCCTGGCCAGCTCCTTCATGACCGAGGTCGTCATGGCCCTGCTCATGTGCTCTCTCCCACTGGACAGGTCCCAGTTAAGGGGGTTGTCAGCCACTACATCTCAGAGGGCTGAAGCAGCCCCCACCGTAGGCTGGAACCCATTCCTTCTACCCACGGGAGCCCCTTGCCCTCCCAAATGGTCCCCTTTCCATGATCTGTGGTGCTTATGACAACCATTAAGCACTTCTGAGCACTACTAGGTGTCGGTGCTCAGCATTAAGAGTACAGGAACCCCATTTCTACAGATGAGGAAACTGAGGCTCAGGGGACTTTTCTTGCCATAGGCACCCACTGAGCAAGCAACAGAACAAGGGACTAAATTCAGATCAGACCAACTCCAAGCCCAGAGCTCTATAATGATGCCATAGAAAGGAGGCCTGAGTGACAGTCCTAACTCTGCGTTTAGCTGCTGTGTGTTTTTTTGGGTACCTGCTTGCTGTCTCTGGACTTCAGTTGTCCCCCATGGGCAAAAGAAGGAAATCATCCCTATATTCCCATCCCAGATGGGTAGTCGTGACAAGCAATGCAGTCACCTGTGCTGAGCGCCTGCCAGGACCTGGCCTGTACAGGAGGACGTACCATGTTCTCAGCCTCCTGGGAGCTCTCCGTGATCTGATCTGCAGACAGTGAATGGGCAGGAGAGACCAGTCTGACTACTCCAGACTCCCAGACTCTCTCAGTGAATAAAACAAGGCAGAAAGTGTGCCATCCACATCGTAAGATATTTGGTTGAGAGTGAATGTGAAAGAATTGTGCAGCGCTGTGCAAATGGGATGTGCTTCTAAGAAGGAGAGTTGGTGTCATTCATAGAATCCAAGATCAGTGGGGATGGTGAGGGCCAGGGTGGCATATCCTCTTACTCCCTCCTGTAAGAATTTCACCCTTTCTGGCTGCACCCCCACTAGGGGATTTTCTTTTTGGGCCACTAAACAATTTCGACTCATAAGGCAGCGGGGACCACACCTGATATCAGTGTTGCTCAGGATATAGGACAGGGCAGTATCAGGTACTCCTCTTTGCCAGGAGTCCTTGTAGCAGCCTGTGAAGCCAGCTAGACAGAGCTGGAACAAAATTTAAGGAGGTCCTTGCTCTCAGATGCCATGCCTGTGCTTGCATGAGCCTGAGAGTGAGGGCCTCCTTAAATTTTGTGCATTAGATGCTTTACTTTCCTCATTCCAGTCTTGGTCTTGGGTCCAGGGGTTGGTCTCTTGGGACTCCCAAGTGAAAGGAGCAGGAGCTGCCCTGGTTTCAATGGCTCAGGCCTCATAGGAACTAGTATCTCTTACGATAAATAACTCTATAGGCTTTGCTTCTAGGGTCCCCACAGTCACGAGAGTCACTGCACCCCAGGAACCTCAATGCTACATCGTCCCATTGGCTCTTATGGTTAATTTATAGTCCTTCCCAGCCCAGATGCAATTTACCAATTGGGTCATTTTCACCATAATCAATGTTGCCTAGCAACATAGTTGACATACTATCTTTATCATGTTTCCAGGGGAACAGAGCTGGAAAGTTAAGGGAAGGTTCAAATGCTTATGCAGAGTGGGAAAGGGGTTTGATTAACCCTATAGTGCATGGCCTGGTAGTGCTTTCAACTCCATGCAACAAGAGTGCCCGCAGGCTGGTGCCTCCTGGCACAGATGCCTTCCCCTGCCTGGTGTACTGCCTTCTAAGGGACAGGAGAGGGGGCTTCTTGATGTTATGTGACAAATGCAAGATCCAGGTCCCAAAGGGCTCCTTGGCATAAGGGGAGAAGCAGAGGCTTTGGAGAC